TGTCACCACACTTGTTTTCTGATTACCTGGGGAGTAGCATAGTATGAACAAACTGGGTTCACACCGCAGCTCTGTAGCTTTTACTGTGAGACTTTGAGCAAGTTACTTCATTCCCCAAGCTTCAATGGTTTTCATCTGTGAATTAGAATGAATAATAGCTCCCACCTCAAAAGGGTTTTGAGAGGCTTAAATAAGATACTACATGTGAAGTTCCTGGCACTACCCTTGGCTTGGTTCCATCTCCCGCCCTAGTATGTGAGTTCCCTGAGAATAGGGACTGTTTTATTTTTCTTTACAGCGTTGGCCTTTTTATAGTGTCTGGCACACAGTAGATGTTCAGTAAATGCTCATTCATTTCATTAATTAAACTAAGTAAATCATTCCTCCTTAGGATTTATGCTATTTCTCTACGGTTATGTTGCATTAACTTTAAGAGCGATGTTATGCTTCAAGGTAGTCCCTTGCCACCCTTTCTCTTGGTCTCTACCATCTAGCCACACCAAATCTCTTCAGATTCCTCGTGTTCTCTCTATCATGGCAGGAAACATCATTTCCCCTTTTTCCTCCCTTCTCATCTGCAGACTCCCTAACCATATACATTTTTAATCTGGCTTCCCTCCTACTCATCCTCCACACTTGAATTTGGTGACTTTCTGCCTCCACCTGTTTGGGCTCAGGTTCTTCTTTTGTGCTCCCATGTCATCTTTTATCACTCAGTCATCAGCACTTCTCACAGTGTGGTGACAATGTCAATTTCCTCAAATCTATTCTCCACTAGATTTTAAGCTCAGGGAGGGCAGGGGTCATCTCTTTCAAGTTCATTATTGTATCTCAAGCTTCTGACATACAGCATTTTGTACTACATATTTGTCAAGAAAACAACAATCAACTCTGCATCATCATTGATTTAAATAGTTAAAAATTTGTTTTTATTGATTATCTTGGACAGATGATTTCACTTTTCTAAAGTTTCCTTCCCTCATCTGTAAAAATGGTATACATACATAATAGGATTATTTTGAGGACTAAATGAAATAATGCATGTAAAGTGCTTATAACTGTGCTTAGCCTGAAGTCAATGCTCAGATGTTATCTATTATTATTACACAGGGACAACCCAAAAAAACCCAAACCAAACCCACTGCCTTTGAGTCGATTCTGACACATAGCGACCCTATAGGACAGAGCAGAACTGCCCCCATAGGGTTCCCAAGGCTATAATCTTTATGGAAGCAGACTGCCACATCTCTCTCCCACGGAGCCACTGGTGGGTTTGAACCACTGACCTTTGGTTAGCAGCCGAGCACTTTAACCACTGTGCCACCAGGGCTCGTTTGACAACAGCGAAAGGGTACCAC